ATGGACGTTGCTGGGTTTTTATAAGATGGTCGTTCGGAGTTGATAGAAGAGAGCGAGTATGTGTCTCTAAAGTGTTTATACGATGGACGGATATGCTGGGTGCTTACTATGATTAATTCGTTCTAGAAGGTGAGTTGAGAATTTCTATATGAGGATGTGGCGTTTGTATATGATATATAAAATGCAAACACCTATTATAGTGGGCATGAAGAGAAAAGATTTAAATTCCTCTTGTGGGAATGTTAGCATAAGCTTACATGTATTCGCTTAGGATGCTTCTTTCGACAAAAACTTGATGTGGCAAGTATTTAGATGCATTTCTGGTATCCCTATAATGTCATATCTCAAAATTTTTCATTTAATTTCGATAAACACTTCCTTAATCTGGACCAAAGGGAGCTCATAGTAGACTTTTTATGTATGAGACCGGCACTACTCAGGCACAGAATCAAGCCTGTGTAATATATCATGATCGCTATACTTCATTCACCTGCCTCCTCTATTCCCATCTTTCATTAACGTTTCGTCCAACATACTTCCATGTTTGTGCCCTCAAGTGCTATTGGGCAATATATCCAATCTCAACGTCTAGTTAATGTGTGGCGAGGGGCTGAAAAGGGTCAGTAACTCTTTAATATAGGCAGACCTATTCACTTGACCATTCAGAACCACTTTGTGTCCGATATCGATGTATCTTTCGAACGCTAACATTGCAGAAAAGGTGGAGGGAGAAATAGATAGCAAAACACCTCTGCTAGCGAAAAATGGAAGACAGCGTGCGTGACCGTGTTTCTGGTTATAAAGACTATACTGAGTCCTCAAGTCCGTTGGTATTGCTTTAAACTAGACTATGAGAGAAAAACAAGTGTGTTTAATCTAACTGTGCTTTGTCTATGATTGCCTATTTATGATTGTCTTTTTCTTTTGCACTCTGTATGAGACTTATGTATGAGACTAACTGAATCTTGGAGCAAATCACTCAATGAATAGTAATCTCGTACACAGTGTGAAATCCAATCATTTTAATCCTCTGAAATCCCTGAATTCCTTTTGTTTCGTTGAACACTTTTCGGACGCTTTTCGCCAGAGTGAAGTTGCCCCCCGTATATCCTGTATTCCGCTGCATGATGTGGTTTCCGTTTTCCTAATTCATCTCATGGCCTTTCAGCTTCATGTATTTATCAATAATGCAAAATACAATCGAAAGTTATATTATACAACTAATTAAATGACAGATATCAATCAACACGTTCAAGCACTAACAAAACAAGTTATACGAGTAAAAATGAAAAATAACGTACAAGATTGTATTTGAGATCGAGAAAGAGCTTTCTAATAGGACAGCTAGTCGAGAAGCAGAAGCTCTAATCTCAGCTTGTTCTTAATTTGTTCTTAACTTTTGATCACATTTTGAGGCTCGTGTTCTTGAATTAAAATTTGTTCTTATAAAAAAAGAGTGTATAAACAATAATTCAAATCGATTGGTCCATATTCAGGGCTCCGATGAGGGGGTGCCGGGGGCTTTTGCCCCCCCATTTTGCAAAACAATAGAGTTTTTTTCAAAATTTTTGTATGGGGTTAATTTTCCCTTGGCCCTCATTTTTCAACCTTTGTGGAGCCCATGATATTTGGCTGTGAGAAGATGATATTACCTTTTCGACTTACCTATACTAAGTGCTGTATGAAGTTTGACGTAAATTTGAAGGTCGACATTATGAAAGAGGGATTTTAGTTGACATGTAAGGCACAAGCATTTTAATACTTTTAATAGGAAACTGTAGATAAGAAACCGAATACACAAGATTACAAAAGAATAAACAAACTGAAGTTCTGACACACCAGTGGCGTAAGAAATCAAGTGAGAAGAAATAAAGAGAAGGAGCGGATGAAATCTGTCTAACCAACAACATCTATTATAGGCAACGAATCATGATAGAATTGGCTTTTGTCACCAAGACATTTACACAACTAGGCCTTTCTGTATCATCCAAAAAATATTGGAAATCTCGAATATGCTAACATTCATGTCAACAACTTAAGATTTCTCTAGAGCACGTGGGTTCTTCTCCATCGTCATAACGCTTAGAAATTATCAAGTCCCAAATCCGTCTTCCTTGAATTTTCGATCCCATATTTGGATGGGTCTTCAAAGTCTTCAATCTCTGTCTCATCAGCGGCGGTGGCTACATCTCAATTTTTACAGATTTCATAGAGGTATGATCCCTGGTCCCCTGACAAATATCCAGAAACTCTTCTAGTGCTCACTCTTTTAAAGTTTTTTGCCAAATTCATGAAACCTCTCCTACAACTCATCCTTCATCCCCAGATCTTGTAAACTTTGAAACAACCCTCTTCTCCTTCCCAGACTCCTATAACCTGTCTCCATTCAAAAATAAATAAAAACTAGATCATCGCTTCCTCTTTTATAAACCCTCCCTCCTGGGCTTTTACTATAGCTCCCGGGCGTCGTAAACTCGACACTCACGTCTGAGCTACATTCTAAAAAAAATGTAGAATAAAATGATTTACACATACGGAGTTTATTCTAAGTTTTGATCACTGCACATATTCAGAAAGTTTTGAAAATTTGGGTTTTGCCTTATCTATCGCCAAATCTTTGAATAACGTAGTACATTTTTTACGTAAAATTATCGAGTTATTTCTAAGTTTTTCACAGGAATTTTTGAGAGGAAATCAGGCTCGCCGAGCAGAGGGGGCTGGGGAGGCTATAGCCCCCTCCCTTTTTGTTTAACTTTGATATTCAGATAGTGGCATCGAAGATCGAAGATAACGGGGAAAAACTTTCATAAAAGTTTGCAAATTTGCCTAGATAGAGCCATCCCTACTACCTACCCTCCCCAACTCACACCCCTCCCTTTCATCCCTCCCCCCCCCCCCACTCACCCCCCATCACACCCCACTCACACCCCCTCCCCTCCCCCTCAAATGTGCACAGAAGTCATTGGATACGTTAACGTCATGTGGAAGGATGCTGTAAACATTGAATGTTTTTCATGCTTTTTATTTAATCGCAAAAAAGACTGCAATTAATGCAAGGAAACGGAAAGATTTTAGAATTCCTTAAAAATGGAGATGTAAAAGACTTGCTACTGTTGGATCAACATACATATTGTTACGTAAACCATTTTAGTGATTTCTGTTACTTTTTCATAGGATAAAAATTTATATCATTCATAAATGTATTCGGACAAATTGCCCTTAAACTTTAAAAAAATTTGTTTTTTGTAGAGGAATTGGATGAAATTAGATGTTAAATTTGGTGAGCCCACCAATTGAATTTCTTTTAAACAAACAATTCCCGCTTCCCCGAAAAACAAATTGTGCATTTGCCAACAGCATTTTTCGAGGGATCTTCCGCGTATCAAACAGGAAGTGGCTGTGGGCAGTGTCTACACAAAATCATCTTCGTTGAGAATTGAATTCAGATTGCTCTTTTATTGTTTGTACTGCGGTTATCTATTCTTTTTGCTAGTTGGTTTTTGTGAGAGTCGAAAAAGGCATTTAGATCAACCATAGATTTGTCACAAAGCATTCAACCACTGTGGTGAAATTTATTTTTTGTGTTGAAAAGCTCGGTATTTAACGTTTATTTGGTGAAGGTAGTAAAAGATTTTGTAAGCATTTTGTAAAACGTGGCATCTTGGCTGGCAGGATGCTACACCGCCAGTGTCAACTGTGAATACCTAAAAACATTGTAGTGGAAATAAGCAGAGAGAAATAGTGCACATAAACGATACCTTATTGTTGTAAACAGGCGAGTATGACATTTCGTTGTGCAGATCAATACAGCAATCTGGAGGCTCGTCACTTGCCGAGTACACTTGCGACGCCACGTTTTCTCTATGAGCACTTCCACCTACATAGTTCATAGGGGGGTAGCCAATACTCTGAAACAACAGTTGAAAATCATCCGTTGACTTTACGGGTAGCTGCCTAAACAGTATTGCTCCATATTGTATCAAATTAGCATCTGCCTCTTCTCTGCAAAATTTACCCCATTCCTGAATACTGTAGTCGCCTTCTGCTCTAAGAGCTAAAGGAAAGTCCTCTCTGGGTCCACTCAAGTACTCTGGGAACGTGCTCTTGTCTGCGCCGGGAAGAAATCGCCTTCCCCGAAGCTGGACAGTTGAGCGTAATTTCATCTCATCAGGTTCTATAACAGAAAATGCCTCTGTTTTCTTCTTCCCAACCGCCAGCATCGCTGAAGAGTACCGTGCACAAAAGACTGCATTTTTAGCAATGCTTCGCGTTGAAACTTTAGCAAGCATTTCTTTACGACAGGTTCAAATCTTTGGTCTGCTCTTTACCATTTCTTGCATGACGTTCCTTGCATAGTATCCTCACCGGAGGCCAAAAATCGGAGGCCAACAGCCGTGAACACTTTTCTGTGGTTTGGATTGCGAGATAAACTGAGGGCGGACATGAACAATCCGGAGAGCTACCATGTTTTTCTTGATGTCATATTTCTTGGAGAGCGTTCCCTGACCCTAGGCGACCTGTGATTCGTTGATGCAGTCAAAAAACTCCTTGACGTGTATGACACGAGTTTAATCCGAATAATCCGAACCGGATCCTCCAAACTGAGTTTCCCTCATACCATGAGTGTGGTGTTATTTTTATGAAAAGAACAGAGAGGGTCCTTGCAAGACAATATCACAAACTAAAAGAGGATCATTTCGGCATTTAAAAGGGGGCTCAGTCCCCGAGTCCCCCTGAGCCCCCAGCTCTACACATCTGTCCTACAGAAACGACTCCCCTTATACTTTTGTTTTCGTGTCATTCGGTAAATTTTGTTTTGATTCGGTAAAAGGAATCTACGCCAAAATTGATTTTTATCCGTTTACCGTCTGTTCTTGTCGAGCCAGTTTAGTTTATATTTCAACAAACGATGTCACTTGATTTCTATTTTTGAAATCGAATGGGCTTAGAGATGTTTTGTGTTTGTGCTTGAGAGAACTCTTTGAACGACAAATTATTGCAAAATTGTAGCAACGACCTTTGGGAGCTCATGTTTCTTCAGTAGGTTTTCTTATGAATTGGTTTTCTTATGCCATACCATAGTCACATGAGCTCCTAAAATAGAACTAGACTTTTTATCGGGGATTATTCTGGAAAACAAAAGGATTTTTGTCAAAGGTGTACAAGATTTTTGTGTTATCTAAGTGATATCTCCTGGGTTCCTCTATGTAAAAAAAATTTCAGGCTGTTGGCTAGGGGGACAATTACCCCTCCAGCCCCAGACGGCTAAGGATATTATGAGAAACCCCGTGTTTTTCAACTAAGAACATTCAACTCTAAGTACCAACATTATTTCCTGCATTGATTTCTGAATGCAACCATAATAATTTTTGTGATTATAAATACATTGTTGCTGTAAAGGAATGAATGAAGGAACCGGGCTTTTGATTGTCATATTTTTGTTTGGGGATTTTTAATTGAACTCATTTCTACTGCATGAAAAAAGAATGAAACATGGAAACTGTGTATAGAGCTAGTTCGTCGCGAGGGGACTGCGAGGGGCAATTCACTCTAAAAAAGGGTACGAAATTTCCAAAAGAACAAAATGATTTCCAGGGATCTTGAGATAAAACAATAGGGTTTTCACCAAAGGCGTAAGGGATTTCCATGGAGCTATTTGCCCATCGGTTTCCCATTTTGATATTTGCAGAATATATTCTATGTGAAATTGGACGTCGTTTATTCATTTTATGAGCATACCGAAGTAATTTAGTTGCTTGAGAATGCTTTAAGCAACAAGGAACGTCACCGATCTAGACAAAATAGCAATGTCGTTATTGACGATCCTTGCAGAACACCGCAAGCTATGTCCTTAGTAACTGTGTTCTCTCCATCAAATTATGGTAGCCATATGGGGATAAAAAAGCAACTTTTCTGAATTATTTAGTTACTTTTCTACTGACTACCAAAAAATGCTTTTTGCCGAATCGAAGAAAAATTTACTGAAGAACATGAAAATACTGGGAATTGTCGCACCCCACACCCCTTTGTAAATCCTTCCCTGACCTGGCCCTTGCCGGCCACGAGACCCCACAGCCACCGCTCGTCGAGCTGACAGCCGCAATAACTTCGTGAGCCATGAAAACAAAGAAAAATAATAGCAACCTGACCATTGTCAGAGTTTGTCACAAATTAAGTTGCTGCATTGCGTAATATTTTTTTCAATAAATCTATTTATAAATCAAACAAAAGTTGTCGATTGCTGAGACGCGTTGACGTAATAATCTAGGTGCATTTCACAACAGCTGCATTGTACTTCGCAATATCTTTATGCCCCAGACCGCATCTTCGAGGTAAAAGTCTGGAGACAATAAATCGCTGTTGAGAACTTTACAGGAAAACCCCAGGAAAATCACAGCTTCAAACACAACTAGGGCATGGTTGTCGTTCTATGAAAAGAAGGGGACCCTTTAGACTAAAGCAAGAAGTAGAAAAGGGGTCGTTGAACGAGGCTAGCCTTGTCGGAGCAATGACCAAGATTGGCCAGGCAAGCCTCCTTGGCCTTGCCCCCTCCCCCTCCAAGAAAAGTTTTGGCCGCATGAGTAAAGTACTTTTATATTATTAAAAATATATATTGCTACGCTAATGTTTATCAAGGCTTGACCCCTAAAACAAACATTTGCATATCGGTCCTTGCTTGTTGGAATATTTGTATACCGTTTCAATATCTTTTGAATTTTACCAAAGATAATGGTATTATCTTTGATTTTACGGACTTTCGTTCACATTTCTCTTAGCATGGCTGATTCAGTCGAGGTTAGTAAACTGTAAAACCGCTTGAAAAAGGGGTTTGTGAGCGTGGCGACGATCCAAACAATGGCAGTAAACTTCTACCAATATTGACTTCTACGGATTAACCAAAATTGATTTCAGACTGTCTGAAAATGCATTATGGGATGCTTGCGTGGCGCAATGGCTCATTGTTAGCAAATCTCCGCCAAGCATTGATTTTCCGAATTCCATACACCAGATAGTGGTCCACCACGCCAGACTTGATTACATCTGCTTCTATGATGTATTTGGATTTGGAGGAAGAGAAATTGTTAGAACACATGGTTCCCATTCATTGCAGGACATCACATGACAATTGCATCATTGCGCTGCAATTGCATCAGCTTCTGTAAATTGTATTATTCTTAGGGTATATAAGGGGTGGCTTTATAGTTAGGTTCAGTCTTGCCGTAAGCTTTGTCGAACTCAGTGTACCTTGTCGCTAGCTTGTAGAATTGTGTTTGCCGTTACATTTTCGCCGTTAGCCATTTAAGATATGTTTAGTCGTTTGCCGTCAACTGATGAATTAGAAGAAGTGTAAAGAGAATTGGATAACAGTTTTTGCAGTATTTATCGTGTACGTTTCTGCGAACGACATACGAACTCACGTTTGTAAAACCCCCTTTTTAAGTGGTTTTACAAAATGGTCAATGAGTGTTTTGCTTGTTCGTTGCTCTCCAGATTCTGACGTTGTCAAAGCAACCCGCGTATAATTTTTTATGAACTGTTACTCGGGGTGCTGGTACTTGGAGTGAACAAACTTGAGCTGTTGCGTTTTTGCTACATTTGAAATCACAGTTGGTGTCCCCGATCAAATTAATTTCCTTCTCTTCCCTATCTAGTTCTTTTGAAATTCACCTTAGGTTTTCAGATTTCATCGACACCAGCAGTTGGTAGCCTGCGCCGCAGACCCAATCCCTCCCCAATAGCCTCTGTGGAGGAGTGTGAGGTATGACCGAACACGTAGGCCACCGCGACAAAAATAACGATTCCCCGTGTGGATGGATAAGCTTGTCTCGTTTTGGAGATCTAGTCCTTTCCGCAAAGTTGCAAATGGTTTCATGTCGTTTCCTTATCGTTTCTTCTCATTTGTATTAGTTTCTTGTTGTCTCGCTTGATTCGAAGAAAGATGTTGGAACATTATGATGTTGGAAATTTTGTATTTAATTTACGAGAATATAACAGATTTTGAAAATTTAATTGACCTCTCCAAGAAGCAGTTTGACAATATAAATCTTTCTGAACATGTTTTCAAATGCATGTTCAAGTCCCATCTTCATACGCTGCATAGAATTCCATGAAAAGCTTAGATGAAGATCAAAGGAATTTCTCAGGCAGCAGCATTTCTCCTCATATAGTGTTGTATATTATTTCTTTGGGTTTTACAGGAAAGCCCCATAAAGTGAGCACTTAGGCTCTAAAACCTCAAATTTAGTTTAGTATAAGGGCCCCAAAACACTACTTTAAATAAGGGCCCCAAAACACTACTTTAAATATAGGGGCCCCACACTACTTCGCTACGCCACTGCCCATACCCAAAACGTTTTCATTGCTTTGCAGCGGAAGACTTTCACACCTTTTGAGGCTATTGTCTGGGGGAAGGATATACACAATTTATTGGAATCTGGTTCTTTAGGGTTGCCTAAACAATAAAACTGCTAATGTAAAACATAAAACTAACGATTACAACTTACATCCCTGTCAACCAGCCCATCAATGAAAACAAACGTGGGGAAAAACTGATCGTAAAAATCATCATTTCGGTTTTCTATCAATGGTGGAGCCTTCTTATCGAAAATATTTCAGAATTCTCAAAGTTTGCATGGATAGTTCACCTACTTTTGCTACTTTTGATTAATTCCATTCTTAAAATGGAAATAATTCCTTTTTGAGGCTCTGGGGCAAATTCCCCCATTGCCCCCTTCCACCCCCCCCCCGCCCCACACGGTGGTCCTGCCAGTGTCTCAAGTCTCCAATTCGTGGTGTTTTAACAAGGGTACGTACAAATAGAAGTTCTCTATTCACGTTTAATTTACTTTTCTAGACGAAGATATGTGGTTAAAAAAGCAGCTTTGTAACACTTAGAAGAAGAATTTAGTGGTACCCCCCAAAGCTCTGCGATATAATATATTACGTACATGCGCAAATTCTTGAGGTAACTGGTAAACGTTTTATATATAAAATTAAATTACACTTGTTATGGAAAATTGAAAACAAAGGGCTAATCCGATAGCTTAATGTGAAAGAATACTTTGATGGGTGCAGAGAAGAAGTTCTAAAATTATTTATAGCAGAATTGACAGAAGGCAGGCCATTGGTAAAGAAAAATCATATCAAATGGAATGAAAGAGAGAACTCGAATACGAGGACCAAGGAAATAATGGAAGAAAGATGGATGGGAAATTCCCTTTTGGTGAACGATCAAACCCGCTGCTCTATAAACATTTAAATTTGGAGAGCAAATCAATTCAGATTTTAACAAAATCAAATAAAAATTAGAGTTGAAGATAACAAACAATAATAATGAATCAAGGCATAAAGCAATGCAGAAATTTGATAAACTCGAGAGAGCTGTCGAGACAATTTCTCAATTAAACTTCAAACTTTTTTGCGAATTAGGCCAAGGATCAACAAACATTTCACTGCTTGGTAGGGTAATACATTTCAATAATCTATTTCAAGGTTTTTTAACCAAAGACTAGAGCTTGCTCTCTAAGGCCATGCGAAACAAACTATTGTAAAGTTGCTTAATAGCTTTACTTTACGCAACGTCATTCTGCGTCCTGCCCAGTCCCCTATATAATAACACGTTATAACAAGGTTTGGTTTTAACATGATAAGAAAAACGAGTTTGAGAGTTAAAGCACGTTGGTAATATGTAGTTTTAATATCGATTGTAACATGTTCTTTACGAGGTAGCCCTTCTGTAAGTTACAACACACGTGGTAACGGTTTTCGGTTTATATTAGAAACCGAAACTGAAAGTCTATTTGAATGAATTAAGTTTGATAGGTCATTGATTTGGCGATCTCATTTAGCTTTAGTATTTAGGTTGAATGTCTGAACAGCTGTTGCCTTTTCTAAAGCTCTAAAAAAATGCAGAACACAACTCCAAAAGCAGGGGGTGAAGTGTCATTGTTAGAATGTGGGGGTCACAGACGATAGTTACAAATGAACACTTTTGGCATTAACAAGGGGATGAGCCAGGAGCTCGGTGGGAGTAAAATTTCAGGAGATGGCTAAAAGCAATTGTTGGCATAAATTGGCTTTACAAGGTACATATCAGAAAACTTAAAACGAATTATATTATTATGGTGCTTCAGAAAGGAGGAAGCCACCCCCTTCCCCTTTTCGGCTCCAGCCAGAGTACCCTTGGGCTGAGCCCCTTATTCCTCCTACCCCCTTGAAGCTATATCTCTGGAAGAATATCTAGGTGATAATGAACCACAGGATGTTTTTCATCATGATCTTAAATACGGTTTTGAAAATTTAATTTGTAAGAAGGAAGAACCGCAGGATAGGCTGTCCGCCGGATTCTGTGAATTTTGCAATAAGTAATAATACGAAAGATATTCAGGAACAACGCAATACAACGACGAGAATTCAATATAACGAGATAAAATTTTCAAAATAAATTGAAAATAAGGAATACTAATATTTCGCCCCGGCATACAGGGCTTCATCAGAGTAGATGAAACGAACGAGTGAATGAATTTGAAATGTGAGATGGTGATACCGGATTGGTGGATGTTGAATGGTGTGATTGCAGCGCAGTGGAGAAAAAATGGGATGCAAATTTAGTCTCAAAAAAATAATGGGTTTTAGGATTCATAAAAAAACCTCCAACAACTAGCGATATAAATATACAAAACAGTAAATAACTAAGATCCAATACTTGTGAAAGAGATATTACAGCTAAATGAGGTTGCATAAATGATGGTTTACGAAACGAATCGTTTATACAAAAAGCCATGAGCTTGTACAATATCCGAAAGATGCAATGAACCGTGGAATTCTTTATCATTAGACATTTGATTGGCAGAAAGTAGACTATACAAGCATTTACTTCTAATATTGTGTAAGAACAACCTTTATCGGTGTTAATATTTCTTGTTACAAGTTGGTGTTAAATTAGCTATTTAGTAGCTATTTTTTTGCAAACTAACATTAAAAAAGAAGTAAAATCGGCAAACTTATGAAAAACTGTCAATGGTTGGTATGAAATACTGGTCGTTACTTTTACACCCTCCTCAATCATTGACAATAAATCATACCATTTAAAGGAATTGCAGCAATAAGAAATTGACCAAACGGCAATGGCCGGCTGGGTTGACCTGGTATCTTCTAATTAATGCGTAATCAACATCTATTTAAGCGACCTTTCCTTTAATTTTGTCACAGCTAAGAGTTTTTATGATAGCTCATTAATGACAAATTAAGGCGGGAGAGGCAAATAAAAGCCTTCCAAAGTGAGACATATCGCCGAGGTATCAGTATTGATGCGAGTTACTTTCAAGACTTGGTCAAAATGAGAGGTATGATTTTCGCATTAGATGTTGCCTTGGTTTGCCTAGTAGGGCTTGAAGGAATTTATGGTTTGACATGTTTGCGATGTGAAGAGCAGAAGTGCCCAGATGTACGATCGTTGGATTGCAAAGGTACGAGAAAACGATTACTTTTGAAATAATTGTTTCTTCATTTTTTAACATTATGTTGTTAACTTGACAATTTTATGGAAAGTTGTTGTGTATCGTCTCAATGAAAGCATTTAAAAATTTAAAGTAATTCAGTTTATTTTTTTCCAATCTTGTTAGAAAGATTGAAGCGTAACAAGTACGAAACGAAAGATTAGATATGTATAAGACAATATTGACCAACGAGCATATCATGGATGAGGAGAGTTGTGAAACTAAGGGGGGTAGGGGTTATGCTAAAAGCAAACAGAAGTTAATTCATTTTTGGCTTAAAGGCAGTTTGCGGATTATTACGGGACCTGTGTCCCCTCAACCCCTTGCTTCTGGGGTCCCTGGGAGACTTTAGTGGGGTTAGCAGTATAATGAACACGAAACCTGAACCCTTTTATGCATTAATAGGGAAGAGCTGCCCCTCAACAACCCTCCCTCCCCCCACAAAATGGTTAGATTGGCATTGGAAAAGGAACAATAGTTTACATTACAACTCGTGCTTCTTAAAAATTGTGAATAAATTATTCGCACCCCTAAGGCTATCGCTAAGAAGGGGCTCCTTTCCCTCAGGGTTAAGGCTCCTGTAACCACGGCTATGTTTTTAAAGATCTGAAGGCCGGCCGCTTACATTAGCAATTTTTTAACTTTAGTAACTTTGATTTCAGCAAAGAAACTTGTTAGGTACATATGTCATTTGTGAAACTTTGTTTCAGGGGGAACAACTCTTGACGCATGTGGTTGTTGTACAGTCTGCGCGAAAGTTGAAGGTGAGAAATGCGGGGGCCCATGGAATATTGGAGGAGTGTGCGATAAAGGGCTGGTCTGTAGCCCCAAGAGCAACATTGAAACCGGGCGATGTGTAAATCGTAAGTAATTCGCTGTTGGTATAATTCATGGCAGGGCAGGCGTAGCAAGCAGAATATTTTAGAAGTGGCACAATAAAAATGTTCGAAATATTTAAATTACAGAAAATACAGAAAAGCCTAGTTATGCAATACTTCAGTTCCGTTGCAAACCATTTCTAAACGAGAAATTTTCATTATCAAATATAAATGAATATAACTTAACCTCAACCTAATTATATTTTCATTTTTTGGAATGAGAAGATGAGAAATGTTTCAGCAAAAATGGATGGCAATTTCCCTCTCAAGAAGACACCCTATACAATCGATATGTTCTTTGGTTGTGTAACCTTGGCAATATATCGGAAGGTATTAATGATTACTGCCAGCGTTGTTAGGCGTTCTACGGGCTAAAGGAAGTCAAACTAATAAAGAAGTTGAAACAATCTGCCATAAAATGGCCCTTGCAGTTGTATTTTAGAAAAGTATAAAGCAATGGGGCAGAAGGGCCCCCTCGACCTGTTTTTGATTCAGATTAAATTAAAATGATGTTATTTCTTTATAGCAAACGGAGGAGGCAAACGACTGCCAAGATGCAAAGCTGTCCGTAAATACTCTAGTTTCAGAAAATCTGGGTACAGACGCTGTCTCAGAAGAAGGACAGTTTTCTGCAATAAGTGCTGTGAAAGGTATGTTTGTCCGATCGTTGCAGTTATGAATTTTGCTCTAAAATTAATTGATGAATAAATAAGCTTAGGTTAAATCTCGTGCACCTTTGGTGGATATACTTCTGTATTATCTTAAAATCCCTGGAAATCCTAAATTGTTTTCGTGGAAACCTCGTACGCTTTTCGCAAGATTGAATTACCCCTCAGTTTATTGTCTATTGCTAGCGTTTCTGGTCGGCCAATTTCGATCCACGACTGGGTAGATATATTTCCTAGCGTAGAGTTTTCGATCTATGTTCTGACATGAAATACTCTGAAAGTGTCAGAGGAAAAGCTTAAAGACTCATTGTTAACAATGAGCCATTGCGCTACGCAAGCATCCCACAATGCATTTTTAGTCTGTCTGGAATCAATTTGGATTAATCCGTAGAAAATTACTGCCATTGATTGGACCGTCGCCACGTTCGCAAAGGCCCATTGTTAGCAATGAGTCTTTAAGTATGATTCAAAATGTTTGCTTTTTTCGAAGCTGTTTATGATAAAAATTCTGAATTTCACTTGTCTCCTAGATCTAAGGATGCTTGCAATCTATATTACAAGCTCCTCTTTTTCACTACAATCTCCTGTAGTTAATGAATTCTGTAGCAGCTGCCGTTTTGGAATGGGAAGATTTCTTTTGCAAGTGTTTTATTCAACATGTCCGGAGTAATCAAAACTTTGTTTTAGCAAAAATCATTCGGTAGACCAGGCCCCATATTTGAACTACATAAACTTATTAACAAAACCGGCGTTGTTGGAAAATATTTCGACACGAATGTCAAAGCAAAAAATCAGAAATGAAGAGGAAAATAAATGTGATTGGAAGCATCAAGCTGACCATTTACAAATACGAGTTAATTCTTCGAAGTTTCGTTGAAAAAGAATTGTTCATGTGCCCCACCTATTTATCATTAAGACTGATTGTTTATGGGCCATGAAAACTGTAAAAAGTGAAACAGTTCGGTAGATTAGTCTTTTATTGTTATCAATTCATTACAGGTGTTGTGAACATTCTACGACCTGCAATCCTGATGTTTATAACTACATTCCACGCAATCGTTGTCGAAGGCAGGAAAGACTTCATGTTCCAAGAAGACTTCAGTTAGGAGATGAGGAAAATGACGAAAATGAAGTGGACCTACCAGAAGAAGATATTAAAATGTAGAATGGACGCTAATTTACATATGAGTTAGACGTTTTGATTAAACCTAACAAGTTTCTTTCAATATAAATGCCTTCTTGAAGGACTCTGTTATTCTACTCAACTAAGAAATGGATTATTCTACTGTCAGCAAACATTGGATCTTCCTTTAATCAGTAAAAGGGCATTTGAAAAAAATTCCCAGCTTCTACTAATTTTTTGTCTTTCATTTTATTTCGATCTTCTGTAGGCACCTTGAGAGGCTAACTTCTGGTTTAAGAAATTTTGTACAAATTTTGTGAGAAATGTCATCATTTTGGGAGAAATGTCGTTAAATAAAAAGAAACTTCGCAAGAATCTCTTTTATAATTACCAAAGGCCGATGTCAAGGGCACTTTGGTGCCTCATGCTCCTCCAAGGAAAGGGTAAGAGGGGTGGTTGCCCACCGCCCCCTTCTCCGGCGTCCCTTCAAGAAAGGCAGTGCAATTTACCACCTTTTTTAACGATTCTGCCAATCCTGACTTAGTACTTCAATTCAAATATCTGCGGCTTAGAAACACAAAAGTCAATGGCATGGTTCCTCTTCTTACTAAAGCGATTAAAGCAAATTTCATAATCATCAAGTTATGTGATAAACTCAAGATTTCTTCTCAAGATCTTAATTTTCAGATTCTCCAAAAGAGAGCTTCTTTTCAAGTGAGAAAAACCTAATGGCAAGCAGCTTTGATGGTTTTCAACTTGATTGT